TCTCACTCTCGCCCTTTTTTGCTTGGATTAAAATCATCAGTAAGAATAAATACAAGATTTCGCACGTGAATTGGTATTTTATTAATAAACAATACTGAAGTCCAACTGAAAAATGCAGTATTTGTGACTAGCATTTGGCAATTATATGTAAATAATGTTTTAATGTACTTGTTTCGTACAGCCGAAGTACAACATCTTGTACACTCTTTTAACCCTAGGATACTATCTGTACATGCATCTCTGAGACATACGTGTATTGGTCTTTTCTGATCTCCGAACAAGATTTCAACTTTTCAATATTTTCCAAAAGTCAGATTTTCTCAATTCTGAAATTATAGTAACATTTTAATAGATAAAAATTAAATCGAGTAAATTTTCGTATGTTTTTTTTTTTGCATTTTCCTCAAATGTATGCAATCTCAGAGAAGTATGATTATAAACAACTATGGAAAAGAAGAGCCTTCTAGAGTTAATTGTAATTCTTTGATCCCTTTTCTTATATATATAATTCCTAAATAATTTCTGTGCCAAATTTTCCAAATATATATATACACATACCTAAAAACATAATTTATAAACAATTATGTAAAAATCTTTGTACGCAAAATTACGTCTTTAACACCGAACGAAAATACACAGATGTTGTACTCTGGGTACAGCTGCATACTTTGGCATACGAGAGAGGATGTATTTTACATTCTGTGCCAAGCGATAGTAACACCGATCGATGTCGAATCTTTATCGAAACTCGATCGCGCCTCCGAACGAATCTGCCACATTTTTCACAACCAGGATCGGAAGCTTCATTTTACTTGCAAGGTATCACGCCGATATTACGCTTTAAAGATTCATTGCGAGTTAGTCGGGAAATCGAGAGCAAAGTACGCAACAGTGCCGGGACAGTCTGTATATGAACGCTCGACTCGTTTAACGTTTGCAGTGTTTCGCTTGTCGCAAGACGGATCTAATATCGTGGCCGTCCGTTTATCAGTAATATCACATTTCGCTAGAAGAAGTGTACATTCAAAAGCAATCACTCCTTACAGCGTCGCGCGTGTTTGCCCACAACGACGACGAAAATGTTACAAATATACAAAAACGTTTGACACATACACTTCCTGTCGCCTAATGACGCAATAAACAATCGGAGACGGAGACTTGAGCTACTTTTACGAGCCTCTTCTAGGCTGTGAACGTGTCGTATTTTGCGCTAAACTCGAGCTTCATTATTCGTTTTTAAAATATCGATTGATTATTTTAGAAAATGTCATGCTTTGGTTATTTGCACTTGGCAATATTCTTTTGTCCGATTATTACATTTAGCTTCGACACGCTACAGCTTTGTAGGCCTCCCGCTTGGCGCAGAACGCTACGTTTCTCTTATAATTAATTCTTAGAGCCGGTTGCATCAACTGTAGCTAATGAAGACGTCGATTAATATATTTGTTATTAAATAAATTTTCATTCTTTCTCTCATCTACATACCAAGATTATAATTTACAGAAAATTAATCAAGGTACAACTAAACTCAGGAGGCGACAGCACTATCATTAGCGCTAATTAGAGTTTTAACTTGAATTAATGTAAATCGATTTAAATTAAATTAACTCAATTAATTAAGTTGATTTAGATTAAAACCAAACTAATTAAAACTTAGTAAAAATTTAGTTTAAATCAATTTAAATCATTCAATTTACAACAGTTAACTAAATATAAAATTAACATAAATTAATAGTTAATCAAAAATTTATCCCTTATTTCGTTATTAGCTAGATTTATCATCTGTTGTCGCGGTAATTAATTAAGCTTGTTAATGCAACTGACCCTTAAACATAATCTTATCGAATAAGACGCTCACGCTCCCTTACAACTAGAATTTCCTTGTAGTTGAAATCACACGTTTTATCGCGCGCGCGCGCGCGCGCGCGTGTGTGTGTGTGTGTGTGTATGCGTGTGTGTGATGTGATGTGTGCAACTTATGCTGATGTAAATACGCTCGTTATAAAACCTTACTAATTCTGCTCTATATACGTATACCTCCCTCTGTGACTGTGAGGTATTGTGGTACCATTATTAACTATACGCACATGCCTTACAAACCCCACGCAGGACCCGCATAGTCCCCCTGGACGATCTCATTAATATTAATAGTAATCGTATTGCAAAATCTACTTGGTGGATACTGAGTACAAAATTTGTCAGTGTATACGTGTCTGTTTGCATGTGTATCTGTGTATGCGTATTGTGTCTAAAGCGCAAAAATGGAATTTCAAGCGACACACTTTCTAGACAAACATAAATCATATTCACTTGTATCTCGAAGTAATAAATCAGTCAACGAACCACTCCTCGATATCAGTAAATGTTGAAAGAATGAGAAAGGGGATCTATGTATCGATAACGTATCTTCATGATTTTCAGCTACAAATTGAAGTTTTCCTTTGGAAGATCTATAGCAATACTAATGCCACGTTGTTAAGCTCTAGGAAACATTGAAATGTGAAAATTGATCGGAATAAGTATCTATTTCGAAAAAGCTTGCGGAGAAAGTTTGTGTCACTCTTTTATAATTCTTGAACGTATAATTAACAGTTCAAATAAAATCATAGATATAATACAATTGAAATTAAACGAATATATTAAATTATATAAAAATATATATAGAATTGCGCGGTACCATCAAAATCCAATTACTTTCGATGAACGTTATTGCACGACACTGTTTTTTTCAAAATTGTTTGAGCACAAAAATAAACGCGCGATTATTCTAATCACGCATGAAAATGAAGAATATAATTTCGCATAGCACCAGTCACTAATATTTCACTACTTTTCTTTCTATTAATTAAACATTAATTAGTTTTAAATTGGTTACTTAAACGAATAAGAAATCATATAACATTTGAATTGCGCATTGCGACTTTAGCTACCCTTTATATGTTGCCAGAATATTTCCTTTGGTTATATATATTTGTAAGAGTTTTTACAATCGAGATAACTTTCAATGGTTTCGCGTAATCGATTCGTAAAAGAAAAATGTAAGAATTTTTAACAAATATGATTCCACATTATTCCATGCTTTTCTCTTGTTGATTTGCTCTTCTAGCAATCAGTCAATTTAAATTAACTAAATCAACTCCAAAGATAATTTGAATTATAAGAATATTCTATCTGCTACTGAGTTTAGCAGGAAGCACGACTATAAAGAATAAACACTAAATATAATCTTCAACGTTACAACGAAATATTAATATTAATCTGCGTAAACTTCAACAGAAAATGGCAAGTATGGCACGCAAAAAGATTCCATTCGACTACTGCGTGTCTCTCTCTCTCTCTCTCTCTCTCTCTTCCTTTCTTCAATATATACGCGTGTGTGTATATTTATATATGCACTTATATGTGTACGTATAAACGGATATTTTGTGCGTGGTTTATGTCACATGTAATCTTGCCATTCGTTATAGTCCATAAAAAGAAACTAGAAAAGGCTATACAGAATTTGTTTACGCTCAATTCGATCGCGCGTCTCCTCTTTCTTTTTGCCTCTAAAGTTGTACTGCATAAATTAACAACAGAGATGTGATCGTCAAATAATATTTGATAGGAGATGAACAAATGATTTCGCGACGTGAATCTCCCCTTAATCAGTCATATTGGCTATTCCGCAAACAGTTTTATTTTAGCTGCGATTCAAGCTGCACAGAATCATATCTCAGAGAAAGAAAATTATGTTATTTCAAAAGTCTCGTGTCAGCATAGTACATACACAGAATGAATATTACGATATACAATATCACGATTTCTGTTGAAATAGAATAAATTGATTTTTTATTCCTTTCCCTCGACAATCAAATCAGATTGAAACGACCATAACTTGCAGCTCTAGATATATAGTGCACACGGAAATTTCTTTATATATTCCTCTACTTTCAAGTTTAATCACAATACTCACTTTACGAATCGATACGCCGTAAATCGTCGAAGTCAAAATCACAAGCGCAAAATCATTAATCGTACATCACATCATCAATGATGGCAAAAATTCAAATCATGAATTAAATTCCGGCATGTAAACGAAAATTTCATTCGATTATTAATTGTTAAATTTCTGCACATTAATGATAATTCAATTAAGTTACCGATTATAAATTCCTTTATATTGACAAAAATTTAGTTCAGCAGCAAATATTAAATTTTTGTACACATGGACGGCAACTATAGTGTGGAATTGTGGAGCTCCATACCCAAAATTTAGCTTAGTATGCCAAAATCTACGCTCAAGAAAATCCGAGAATTGGATTAAAAATCAACTGTGAATTTTTAAAATGTGCACAGATACCGATATTCGTGATGGCAGTATAACTGCGCGCGTAGCAGAGATTCAACTTAAAGATTATTTATACTGGTCGTAACCATGCGCCGTATGCCATAGTAATCTGTAAAAATTGACTAATCACGTCAGCATTCCTCTCTTACAATTGAATGAGAGGGGAATACTCGACTAGTCAATTCTTACAAATTATAGCATACAGTTACGGCCAATATAAACGATCTCTTGCCAACTGTTAAACAGAGCGTCGCAATTCGCAATTGTAAAAAAGGGGACGGCAACAAAGAGCACAAAATAAATAAAAATAAAATGTCATTTTTGTACTCTCTCCTTCATTTCCTTTCATCAGTCAAAAATTCCACATCCACAGGCGAGGTAAGTTGCCGCCCCTGTTTGTACATATATTTAATTAAACTAAGAAATTAAATTCTTATATCCTGCTATAAACTCAAAATTAATTGAATTGTAAAATAAATTGTTGTACATTAATAACATATTTTAATGCAGCTACAAATGAAATTCTGTATTATATCCAGCCAAAATTTAATTCAGCGATCTTTCAAATTTTTGCACATCGACAGAATTTGAATGAAAACGGTGATGTAAATTTTTACATGTTGCGAAAATTTAATTAAACTGCGAATTAAATTTACGTTAACGCCGCGAGCGACGTTCGGCGCAAATATCTCTTTGCACAGAGAGCGGAGCGGAGGAGGGAAAAGTCACACGGCTATACCTCACGAGAGACCCTGTGGCGTGAAGCAGATCTTCTCTAGTTCGCCAGTCGACGAGCTGACCGGCGATTCGGCTCGGTCGTCCTGTTCGGCCGCCAGCTGCTCGCTGTAATAATGAGGCGTGCTGAGATAGTCGATGAGCCGTCGGGGTAGCGGTAAGGTCGGGATCAAGTCCCTGCGCACCATCTTCAGGATGACGAACCTGCACGTATGCTGCAGGCTCTGCACCTGTTTGAAGCGCGACACCGGATGGAGCAGCTGTACCCGCATTGGGCCCAGAACTGGCCGTCGGTGTAGGAAGAAGAGATAGCGACCGCTGCGCGAATGCTCGACCGCGTTCTCGATAAAGTCAACGATAGTGTGCGACTTGAACTTCGTGCAGCTACCGAAGCTAAAATTACCTGTATGTCGAAAGAAATGGATTTAAAACGCGCATGAAAACAAAGATCAAGAATATGTCTATAATGTGAAGAATAATAAACAATTTATTAAAACCGTATATGTGAACATAATAAGTAAGTTTAATATTATAGTCAAAGCTGGATCTTAGATGCTTTTAAATAATTTCTATGTGAATTTTTATACTAAATATGTAGTCATTTGAACTGTGCGCCAAAATAATTTTTCGAACTTATATAAACGCAATTAAACTATATATATAAAATACCACAAATTAAATTGATAAGCAATTTAATAATTTGATGCTCAATCTGATATCCTATTAGAAAGATGTTAATGTACTGAAAAACTGTAAATAAATTTATTGCGAAAAATATTCGGTCGGTAGTCAAACCCGGAGCTCTTATATTTTCGAGCATCCTAATTTAGTCTAAAGGCTTAGAACAATATTTTTCGCAATTTTTTTAATTTAGTTTTTCAGTACATTAACATCTTTCTAATGCCCGTGTCACATTACGCATTGGAGATTGAGGATTGCAAATTACGAATTAGAATTCGACCAATCAGGTAATTTTAATTTTAATCCGTTTCATTCTAATTGGCTGAATTCTAATCCTCAAATTCGCAATCCTCAGTCTCCAATGCGTAGTGTGACACGAGCATATAATAGGATGTCAGATTAAGCATCAAATTATTAAATTAATTATCAATTTAATTTGTGATATTACTATAATATTTTAATTGGGTTTATAAGTCCGAAAAATTATTTCGGCACGCAGTTCAAATGACTACATATTTAATACAAAAATATTTAATATAAAAATTCACATAGAAGTTATTTAAAATCATCTAAGATCCAGTTTCGACCGTAATAAGCATTAAATTCTTACTTACGGTGTGAAGATAATAGAACTTACCCTGATCATGTTCTATCCTTACATGTCGCACACAACTGTTGAGTCTAAATGACAAGGAAAAAATGTAATGATCATCACTACTGTCTCGCACGATGAATGAGCCGTCCGGTTCGTTAGATAGTATCTTCTCCGCCGCTTCACCAGATATAGGTCCCCAATACCATCCATACTGTTTCAGAAAGTAGAAATACACAGAATACTCTCTGCAACTCTTCCTAGTGACCAAGAGTCAGTGAAAAGAAAAATAAAATTTACATACATCCTTCACTTTCTCGATACTGGCTGCAAAATCCATACTTGTGTCCTCAGCAGTATCTTCTTCTGGTCGCACGACAGGCGGCGGAACTTGCGGCTGTACCGAGCTCGGAGACTCACATTTAGGTGCCATTGCTGTAAGGGCCTCTTCCGCTTGCTCTACCCCCACTTGACTATTACTTTTGGGCAGAGGTGGCAAAGCGCGCTTGAAAAATGGCAGCTTCTGCGCGGACGGCTCTACCTCAGATGGAGCGGTGTTATTGTTGTTTGTATGCTGGTCGGAATCGACACCCTCTTCCTCTTCAACGATCTCTCCTTGTACGATGCTGTTCCGTTTCTCCACAAAGTGGTCCGGAGAGCCTAGTCGTCGAAATCGGAAGATGTTACAGAGCGTCTGCTTGAGATTTAACGAGAAATTACGCTGACTCTTCTTCATCTTCTCTCGCTCGGACTCACTCTTCTCCTTATGTGATTCGTCGCGCGCTTTCTTGTGTCTGATACCAACGAACGCGTTCCTCTTATGTTTCTTTACATTATTAGAGTTATTGTTGTTATGATTGTTATTATTGTTGTTGTGATGATGAACCATCAGGCCGTTACTAGTGCTTTTATTAGACACCGGCGTGTCCGTGGACGAGTCCGTATGCGCATTACTGTTATACCTATTATTAGACAGCATTAGATATTATTAGATTAATGACAGAGCCAATTTGACAGTAGCCAAGAACATTTTGATATCTAATTCAAGTTATTTATATCAAAAGTAACAGGAACAAAATAGTGTAGAATAAAAATTCATTATCGAAAAATTCATTCTTTCGCTGATTATCTTATCCATAAAAATTATCATACTTACCTATTATTATTATTTACACTGAGGGCCTTAGGCGTTGCGGCGAGATGTACTGGTGTATGGCCTAGCAGAGGAGCCTTGTCCCGTTTGATCTTATTCTCGCTAGAATCGCTAGAGCTCGAGTACAACGTCTGTAGATACTGTCGCACCTCGTGCAAAGTCATGTGGATCGGTTCACCAATGTTATGTGCATGTCCGTTTGATGGTCTGACACTGTGACGACCAGAAGTACCCGGCACGCTGTGTCGTTTACCACCACCACTACCACTACCTCCACCGGCACCGCTATTGCCACTGCCGCTATTGCCACTGCCGCTAACACCACCACCACCACCACCACCACCGCCACCAGCACCACCACCACCACTGCCGACAGCGGGATTGCCCTCATTACAACACACATCAGCCAACAAACGCTGCGATTTGATAACATGTGTGATGGCACGGGATTTGCCACAATAATGACGCGCCTGTTGGATATGTGCCTCCAACTCACTCTGCGAACTCGCAGAAACATTCCGCCGTCTTTTGCGATGATGCCGGTGCCGTTTAGGCCGCTGTGGCGTTCGCAGGTCGTGCAACGGCCGCACCACATCGATCGGCACTGTGTAAATGTCTGAATCAAAGGGTACATTGTACATGTCGCTAATTTCACTTGTGGTCAACACATCGTGCGACATCGCGGATGTAATGAAGCTGCTGTCGTCAGCTTTGTGGCCAAGCCCAGTAGTGTTGATAGAGTTGTGTGAGCTGGACAATCGTGAGGAGGCCAGCGAGCAACGTGAGTTTGGCCGGTTCAGCGTATTGTATGGGGTAATAGTGATGGTAGCAGCACCCTGACATACTGGTGGTGTCATTAGATCCCACATGCGTTTAGGATTGATCTGTTGGGACCGGATCACGACTGAAACCGGATTCGTAACAGGCGCAATTCTTCCTTCCGGCCAAGAGATGCGGCAAGAAATCGCTAGTGCTTCTTCTACCATCGATTGTATCAGGTTCTCGGCATAATCGTCGATCCATCGTGGCGTTCTGCGTCTCATTAGTCGCGCGTAATTCAGAATCGGCACCGACGAAGATTCCGAGTCTGGCGGCGATGGACTATCCTGAAATTCTGGTGGTGGCTTAATCGCCACGTCGACCACCTCGACCTCCAACTTGCCATCTGCATCGCCCCAGCCTGGGCCCTTTTTCAGGGTGTTGAAATTCTCGCCGCACATGCCATCCGAATAATCAAAAGAATCTTGCGATAGGGACTTGCTCTCTATGTCGCTCTCCTGCATCTAAAAGAGATTTTGTTTCAGAGATTAAGAGTAGTATATGGTTGCATTTGGGGAACGTGCTGTCAGCGCTATAGTATCAGTACTTCTTTTTGTTTTATATCTCATGAATGATACAGGTAGAATGATATAACAAACAGCGCTGATAGTGCTCTCTTCCCCGATGTAGCCATTGTATGGAAAGATATCTTTAACTCGAGGAAATATGATCATCCTACCTCCATCGCAAGATGTGCTCTAACAGAATCGCTAGATATCGAACCCCCCAGGCCACTGCTACCAAGATCACTGAGAGGCCCAGCGCTCAGCGAACATGATGGCGGGGAGTCCATCTCAAATTTCGTTTGCTTCACCTATGCACTGAAAAGTCTATAGTAGCCAGAATTTTTGATATTTCCATGACACCCCCTAAAATTTAACAGCATGACTGTTAGTGTTGCAAATCACATATTTTCTTTTTAAATACTTTTAGATCGATGCTGTAGATATCTAACCTGAGAAAAAGTATTACAGGCAATACATAATTGCCTTACAAACTCTATATTCGTACGTTTTCTTGTACTCTGCGCATGGTCCATTATGAGAAACTGCAATGATAAATTCTAAAGTGATGCAGTTGACAACCCTAAAACAGGAACGTGATAGCACAATCTGTGTAAGTTCCATATAGAACAACATACGCACAGGAAGGATGAATCATGATATCTTTAGAGTGTCATAACTACAGATATATGAGTCATGAGGATCAATTCTTCCATTCATTTTACTTATGATCAAAGACACTTTAGATCTCAAGGCTAATCCATCCTGAAATTATTCACGAGTAGACGAATCTTTCGAAAAAGAAACGGGAGAAAAAGAATATAGAGTGGAGTTTTCTCTCGGTGAATTACAGAAAAGATTTTCCCGCGATGTCACTCGATAGCTAACCAAATCCATCCGTTCAGTAACCACGGCGTGTCGAATCTCATCGCGCGTTTAATGCTAAATACGGCTCTTCTCGCGAATCTTATCGATGACAGGGAAACAGTTCCGGGGAGAAGCAAGGTGCTCCGAATCGGCGGTAAATGCACAATGACAAATCGGCCGGAGGACAGTTTGAAGCAGCGCCCGGCGAGGAGGAGAGGTTGACGGAGCCGTGGTTGGCTCGTACGTCGCACGTCTCGGGAAAACGTCGGGGACCGGGGACGTTCACGCTCGGGAGTTGGAGCTGCTGGACGCGGACGCGGGAGAGGCGAATGGACGAAACGACGCCGCGGCGGCTTACCCCTCGCGCTAAATCGACCGCGGCGCACTCGCGATAATCGCGATCCAGGCCTCGTCGTCGTCGTCGTCGCGCGGGGGCACGCCGTTCATGATCGCCGCATGACGCGCGCTGTGCCCACGCCGGGACCCAATCGATATCTGTAAGACAACGCGGAGCAGCCTCCTGCCTCACGTTTCGCCTCGCACCATGTTCGGCTCGGTCCGGTTCGTCGCGTTCCGCGCCTAGCGTCACGCCTAGCCAATCGGCGCTGCCAACCTCGCCGCACGCGATTTGCATGTAGTACTACGAGCTACTACGTCACTACTGTCATGAATGCCTTCGCACGTGAAGTTGCACCGATTGTATGTATGTACGTCGACGCTGAACGTATGTTACATGCTCATTATATTTCGAATTCACGTTCATGACTACGAGAGGCAAATTTAGATTTAGGCTCGTGTTGTGTGTAGACTACGAGAGGATAAATAAAAGTTTCGAAATTCCAATGCTCGCAGTTTTGGTTTATATACTTTTTTCACTTCATATATATTCTGTCGAAATTTGGAATTCGGACATTTAACTGAAAATTCATAAAATCGTGATAAAATCCTTAAAATATTAATTAGAATCTCTTATCTTTTATTTGATTATATATAGTCTCTTGATATTTTGTCGATTTTTAAGAATTTGAATTTTTTGTTCGCGCGAGATATCGACAGTCGTTAATACAGTACGCGACTTTATCGATAAAATTGTCTGCTGTTTTACTGACCGTCGTAACTTTTTAAAACCGCAAAAATTTAAATTTTTAAAAATCGGAATCAAAAAGGTAATATGAAAATATAATCAGATAAGAGGAGACATTAACTTAATTGATAGATCTTTCCCACATTGGAAAATTTTTGTTTTAATACTGGTGTGCCATCAGTAATTGAAAATCAATTTTAAGTGCTCTGCTTTCAATTGCCTTCAAACTGGGTTCGAACCGAAAGCTAACGTACAAATTCCGCGCCAGCGGGATCAGCTGATCGCTCGGCGATGTCCGCAATTGCGGTCAACTGTAGCCAAGTATTGACGTAAATACCGGTGGCTAAGAAGATATTTTTATTTATAATTGTTAGTGATCTATTTTCGTTATCCGCTCTTCTGATAGCGCAAGCAATTCTTATCCAGTCAAGTGATGATGAAGTGACAATTTCAGAATCTTTCTGGCATATGTATACGTTTTATGAAACATGGTTGCGAAAGCTGAATTAAATGTGTTCTGATTGCATCACAATTGTTGTCTTATTCATAAATAGATTAGGAAATAAGATAAAATTATGAGTTGCTGATGAGCGGTATGTAAATTAAAAACTATTATAATATCGTCTTTATATTGAAACTTGTACACATATGTATAGTAACAATTAAAAGGCAAGAATAAATAAGAAAATGTCGCTATTGCAACAATTTGCGGATTTGTTGAGCCTGATAACGATAGGCATGTGTTTCGTATTGAAAATTCCACAGATATTAAAATTAGTTTCTGTAAAATCAGCTGATGAAATGTCGATGATAGGATTACTTTTAGAATTAACAAGGTAACTCTACAAGATTATATTTCACCAGATTATTTAAAGAAATAATTGCTAAAGTTTTCACAATGACTTCTTTTACAAATAACTTATTATTATTTATTTTTCAGTTACACTATAATGACTAGTTATAACTATACAAATGGATATTCGTTACTGTCTTACTTGGAATATCCAATAATATTAGTCCAGGAATATATACTGATATTCCTTGTACTAAAATATTTGAGCAGGATCAATATGTGGTCCTTCTTATGTGCCATGATATACTTTGCGTTAAGTAGCTGTTTGCTACTGGGAATTGTTCCAAAAGTTATACTTACACTTTTAGCGGTAGATACAATGCTGAGTATTGCAAATAATTCTTCCATTGCTTTGAAACATTCTTTATATGATATACTTGAATTTTTAGCCAATGTGTACGCCGATCTCAGCTTCCAGTAAAGTCGTCCAACTACTAGCCATACTTCGAGCTAAAAACGCAGAATCGGTATCGCCTCTCACTTGGTTTATATCCGCCTTTACTAACCTGAGTAAGTTTTCAGTTTTGCATATGTATAAAATGATGGAAACGATGGAATTAAATAATTACGTTTTAGCGAGAGTATTCACAATATGGATGGATTCTGCCGATATATTACTATTGGGAAACTTTATCATATCAGTCTTGTTGAGTTCTAGCATCATGTTCTCTGCCCTTTATTATAGAAGCCATCCGTTGAAGCGGGATTAAATGAATAACAGGAGAATTATACATCTAGTCGCAAGCGTATGCTATGAAATTGACAACTTGTGCTATATATTTGTTGAGAGCATAATCATAAAAGGTATACCATATTTAATTTTTGTCAATAAAATATAAAAATTATTTGTTCTACATTGATTTATTTTCTTCACGTTACATATCCTAATAGCAAAAAGATTAAAAAAGTATAATTGTATTTTATCTTAAATATTTTTCATAATTAAATATAAAATATTTAATATAAAAATTTATATATATTTAATTCGAATGACACAATGGAATCCACCAGATTGTCCATTACTGTCCTGAACTGTAAGATTATGCGGCTCAAGAAAACTATAAACAAGATTTTATTCTCGCGCGTATGAAGGATGCCATGTGGTTTCGACCCTTCTAAATCAGTGATCTTCAAAGTTCTATTCTAGCTTATAATCATATTGTCTTTGTGAGAAAAAGTTATAACAAGATCTTATTATCAATAAATTATTAATATATACTTAGAAAATTTTTAATCAGGATATGCATAAGGAATATGCGAAAATATCCATCCAATTCGCGATGAGATATACAGAAATATCTAAAGCAAGATATGTAAAAAGGCAATTATATGCTAAAATTTAGAATTTATAATTTTTCCCTACTTATTTTTTATCTTTATTACAAACATATTTAATAGACTTGCGAAAAAAATCTGACAACTTCAGCTGAAGATTGTACATAAACTCAGGGTGCCTGAACTTGGATCCACGCGGGATTCAAGCTGCGACTTGAAGATCACTGATCTGTTCCACCCCCACCGAGTTCTTCTCATCTGGCAAGTCGACGCTGTACAAACTGTGGTCCGGACAGTCGACACCAAGAAAGCGTCCAGGCATCATCGTCTCTCTCAGAGAGAGAAAGAGAGAGAGAGGAAGGGAGCGAGGCGAAGAGCGTGGAGGGAAGACGAAAGTGAAGAAAAAAAAAAGAGTGGAATAGTTCCTCGAAAGAACTTGAGAAGGTGTCGGATTTTCTGCTGCTGGCAGGATGCAGTTACCGGCAATCTTCGCCGGTCTTCTGCTAATCATCCGGCTGTCCAGGAGCGAAATCCTGACGCCGCCGTATTTCAATTTGGCCGAGGGCAAAGAGATCGTAGCTTCGGCTACGTGCGGCGTCGACACCACCGGTCCCGAACTTTACTGCAAACTCGTCGGCGCAAACGCCGATCAGGATGAAGATATCAATTTGATTCAAGGCCAAGTAAATATTAGCGATAAATATATTAAGTAAAAGAAATGAATAATGCTTGATATGTTTGTAATACAATGTGTAATATAATGTTGATCAATTAGATATAATTCTAATTTATCAAATTTTCTTTCAAAATTATAAATTAATCAAAATTAAATTAATAGTTAGGGAAAACTCTTCTAACTTTTAACTAAAACTACAAAATATTAAAAA